TTCCTGTACATGTTTTCAGTTTGTTAACGCACCTCGATCCACCCGATATTGTTGGTTTTGGCTAAGCTAATATACGGTTGTGCTTTGTATATATTTTTGAGTTTTTATCATAGATGTACTTATATTTGCTTAAAAATATATTCAGTTTTAAAAGATCTTAAGTATTATGAAGTGATGGGAACAGACAAAAAACTAAAACATATTTTATGTTGGATTTTTTTAACAAAAAGTTATTTAAATAATTGAAGTTCATTTTGTAAATAGAGTTTGGACATTTTGTTAAACTTTGGTTTAACTAAGAAGCTTAAGTGCTTTAATATTTTGGAGTAACTCAATTACTTTATCATTGTCTGTTGAAATCTATGGGATGAGCCCATTTAATATTATCTATTACCCTGCAGAAACCAAGGAGAAAAGCGAAGCGTTCGGCTCGAGTCTGCTGCTCTCGAACTCTCCGCTGTCGCCCAAGGTGGTCAATGGCTCCTTTGCGGCCATATTCGATGCGGACGAGTTTCTGGCCAAGACCTACGCGGGTGTCCGGATAGCGGTGAGTCAATGTGGGTCAGCTTGGCAGCCAGAACTTGGACTTACGATCTTCCAGCACCAGGAATCGCCATCGATGCGACGACGTGTCAGGGGCATCCTCATGTCAGGCAAGCAGTTCTCGCTGGACTCGCACATGGACGTGGTGGTTCAGACGACCCTGGACGCGGGCAGCGGTGAATCTCGGACCGGCACCACCACCAATTCCTACGGCCGCACCACCTCCACGGGCCAAACGAACACCGAGAGGCAAGTGAGCATCCAGGAGGATAACGAGGAGTCGCCGGAAGGTATGAAGCCCAGGTAGTGTAGTCGGCCATTTAGACATATCGCCAGTGCTAGTTTGTATTTGAAAAAAAAAACTTCGGACTGCTCAGATCAGTGATGTCTGTTTGGATACTTTTTGGGTGCACCCAATACCTATTGTCCTTATCAGTAGAAAAATTATTATCATTTTACAATCACAAAAATAACTTTAAAAAATTTTAAAATTAATTTTATATTTTATATTGGAGACATTTTTTTTAAACTAATTGAAAAAATATAAAATTGTCATTAATATGAATAAAGGGTATTTTTATCCAAAAAGCTTAAATCACTTTTTAAGGCTATAGCCTATAAAGTCAGCACGTTTTCGAACATTTAACAGTTTTTACTATAAAAAACTTCTTCTTTTTTTTCAATTAAGTGTAATTTTATTATAAGCTTTTATTATAAACTGACATCACTGGTCAAGATTTTAGAAACCCCCCTAATCCTTTTAGTAATTTATTTTCAATTTCTAGAAACTGAGTTGCTGTCACTGTGCAGGACCAGTAATATACCCACACCCGACCACGACCACGACCACGACCATGCCCACTCCCTGTCCACTCCCAGTCGCAGTTGCAGCTCCACACCCCACTCGCACCCGCATTCGCCCTCCCCTCACCACTCCCCGCCTGCCAACCAATTTCGACCCATTACCTTGTGTGGGTTGTCCAGCCAATGCCCGCACTCCCCTCTTCCCTTTCCTGCGCCCCTGCCCCTGCCCAATCGCGATGTCACCGTGTCCGTGGATAGCCTCCTGACCCCCGTCACCACCTGCAACGTGTACCATGGCAAGCGGTTTCTGGAGCCCCTCGAGAGTCTCGCCCAGAGCAGTGCTTCCTTCAGCAGCAGCATCTGCCGCCTGCCCACGCCCCTTGCCACGCCCCTTGCCACGCCCCTGGCAACGCCCATTTTGGAGACGCCCGAGGATCCGGACTGGCCGGCCAAGACCTTCAGCCAACTGTTGCTGGAACGCTACTCCTCGCAGTCCCAATCCCTCGGAAATTCGTCGACGGAGAGCAGCAGTCTCAGTGGCGGTGCCACGCCCACACCCACGCCACTGAGCAGCCTCGATGATCTGGTGACCCCACTGCTGCAGTCCTTCGCCTCCCCCTCCTCGCTACCGATGCTCTCCGCCCATGGAATCGGGGAGGGGCAGCGGGAAAAGGATAACGACTCGGATGCAACCGTTTGCTCGGCCACCTCGTCGATGGAATCACTTTAGTCCTAGATCAACACCCTACGAACACGAATTCTTCAGTTTCATTTTTTTAGGAACCGGACTATTTAAACATGTCTACATTTTTTTTTGGGAAAAATCATCTAAAAGACGAGTCAAGAGCAATATATATTTTAAAGGTCATGTTTTATTAAATATATGTGTGGTGGACTCCTCTCTTAGGCCATGATTTATTAAATTTAAGTCGTATTGTTTTTCCGGTCTAGGCAGTTTCACCTTAGAGACTGTAGTTTACACATCTAATTTAATTTTGTATTGGAATTAAAAAATGTAATTTACATTTTGAAGGTAAAGGCTTAGTTCGTCTAAATATTTACATTTGATCTTAATCCCCCTTTTTTAAATGAAAGGTGTAACCAATTTATGTTTTTTCCATCTTTTCTGAACTAGTTATATATATTTTTCATGAAAAATATTACATTTATTTTTTAAATCACCAACCAAAAATTCTAGCTACAATCTAAAGAATTCTTAAATTCCCTACGACATCTCAGCTTAATTGTACATATATATGTGAGTGTGATTGGGGAGAGGGACAAGTCATCCAACGCTGCTGTGCAATCAATCAATAATGCAAGCAATCGAAGTTTCAATGCTGAGCCGTTCGTTATATACATAATTTGCATGCCTATATCTATATCCTATTGTAAGATAACTGATTAGCGGTCAACTAGTTTTGATGTCAGTCAGCAGACATCAGGATTAGGTAACCAGAAAACTCCACTACTAATCGGCTTACATATATCTATGTTTAATCAATGTAAAAGTGATTAAAGTTTCAAGGTTCCAGTTAAACTTAAACGAACTAGTTTTTACTTAGGATGGGGGTCCAAAGGATCTAAGAAAATTCAATCAAGATCAAAAGGTTTTATAAGCTATTTCAGGGTTCCCGCACATATTTTCTACATAGTCTGTATAAGTGAACATTGAAGTCAGCTTGCTTTCGATTTGGACGACCTCCCTTCGTAACTTCTACTGCCCGAGAAATAAAGCTTAATTGCCTCAGAAGAAAACAATGCTTTGTTCATCGGGCGATAGGACTTCGTCGGGAGAATTCTCACTGTCCTCCGCATTCGGGTCAGCTTCGGTGGTAAGGTCTTCATCTGGCCGCTGGGTCGGCTGAAACCAGGTGCCATATAGTGGTGCCACCGTGGTGGTGGAGTTTCCCGAGGCGATCCGGTAGACGATCTGTACATAGAATGTCAGCAGGAAGATGATGATGAAGTCGTGGAAGAGGATGAGCGAGGCGAGTAGGTGATCGTTGAGTCGCATTTCGGCAAAGCGTCCTCCGTTTATGGTCTGGGTATGGTACATCACAAACTGGGGGCAAAGGAGTGTCAAGGCAAGGGTCACCAAGAAGATACCCTCCCCTTACCAAAAGCACAATGACGCTGATGAAGATCTGGAAGACCACAAATGAGTACGGCATTGCTATCAAAATGTGCATCATGATAAAGAAGATGGTGACAATCAGGAAAATAAAGGCCAGCACAAACAGTATCACAACGTCCAGGGTGAAATCGTGCTAGCAAAAAAGAGATTTTAAGACGAATTGTTAGCGAAAGTAGAAGAATCCTTACCGGCATAATGGATCCCAGCAACACGAAGAGAAGAACCAGTAGCACGCAGATGAAGAACCACATTATAAGATCTGGCCACAGAGTTCGGGCCACCAGCGCAAATAAACCAATTATCACGAACTCCACCTAGGCGATGGCATCGAAATGGTAGATCAGGAAACATATGAGTATCTGCAGGATACTCACTATCAGCACTGTGATCAGCCAGTTGAGACCTATGATAAAGCGGATGCGCTCGAAGAATATGAACAGGGTGACCATCACCATGGCCAGTGCAAAGAAGATCACGCTAATCCAGTAGAACTCTATGAAGACTAGGCTTATGTCCGAACTGAAAGGACAGGGGGTTACACTTAGTCCCAACAGCATCCTACCAACTCACATCAGACTGACCAAGAGCCACTGCACGAGGGCCAGGATCATCCAGGCTATGGTCACCATGTAGACGACGCAGGCGAACTTTCGGCGGGCCCGCCTGTACGCCCGCATTCTAAGGCGACGTTCCTCCATGGCGGTGTGGGCGTGGCCCCAGCTGAGTGTCAGGAAAAGGTAAGGAATACAGGAACAAACCAGGAACTACGTTTAAACTTAACGATGTTGACAAAGCCGCTCTGACATGATGTGTGCTTAACTGATTTACTTAGGAATTAAAGACCTCAATCTAAAGACTCTTGTCTTAAAACTACATAGCGACGTGAATAACAAATAACAAATTCCAAAACAGTTTTTAACCAGATTAAAAGCCTTTTAATGAAAACTTAGTACTTAAATATGAAAATTTTCCCGATTAAGGTGCAAATCACAAAAATTATGTAAGCCAATTTTTTAATTTTGGTGCTATTTAATTAGTTTGTGATATTTTTAACCATCTGTATTCATAAAATCATAGAAGCTTTTTCGGATTTAAGCAAAACTATAGACTTTTTAGTCCTGTAAGTATTTTAGAAAAGTATTTTAATTCAACAGACTATTTTTAATAGTTTTTTTTGTTTTAATAAACAAAACAAATTCTGATTTTTTTCTGTTATTTTTTAGAACATAGGTATCCAAGGGTTTTTAGGAATCCTAAATTTCAACACTAAGTCATTTGTAAATAAATAAATCCGCCATGTAGTTTGATCCTTTGCAGCACGGTAGTTTTTACACCGCAAAAACAATTATAAAATGTAACAATTTCCCATAAATTTCGCACAGTCGCGTCCCCAATGGCGGACAGAACAGTTGGCATTTATTTTTCTGAAATTAGTTACATGTTTTTTTCATAAATTTAGATGTGAAACGAAACAAGCCACATCAGATTCAGTGCCAGACTAAGAGCGTCTGTACATATGTTGCGTGAGAACCCCGACCCGCACCGGAAGAGCTTGGTGGGGCCCACATATAGGGTGACCATTATTATGCTCTTCATCGGACAGCTTCAGGTATCGGTGGCCATGGAGATGTGAGTAGTGGTTCGGGCAACCTTTGACAGCTCCTCCAGCCGCTTCTCCCTTTCAGCAAGGCTCTAAAGGAATTTCTGGCGGAACGCTACTACCTCAGTCTGGTCCTGTTTCTGGTCAGCTTCCTGTCCATCCAGCTTTACGGCTTCTTCTACAACCTTATCGTAAAGCAACCCATGTGGATACGGATTCTGGCGGGCTTCTGGACGGTAAGCTTGCTGTTGTATTTTTTTCTGTTTGAACACCGATTGAACACCGTTTTTGTCACACCCAGTACGAGGTGAACACCTTGTCGATCATGAAGCCCGCCAAACGAGCCCCGTATGTAAGCCTCATTCTGTCCTTCTTCCTCACCCTCCTTATGATGATCATCAGTGTTATATACGGCAACAAGGCAGTGCATCACAGAAGGGGCCTATATGTAAGTGTCGAATTTGTTTGGTAGCCGTCACTTAACACTTTTACCTCAGATCTCCCGCAGCAAGGTAATCCTGTGGAGCGAACGGCTATATGTGCTCACCTGTTTCGGCATCATCGTGTGCGCCGAAATGAGGAGGGTTACCATCGAGTTTTCTACCCTGTTTATATACACCACAATGTCAAACGTGGTAAGTGTAATGTTACACTTATTTCTCAAAAGTACTGACAGTTTCAGATCAAAATGAGGCAAATTTTTTCATAAGTTTTCGAACACAAATATAGATTAACGTAAATTTAGAAGATACTGTTGCCCCACAGTTCGTCATAATTTTCGCCGCCTCGATGCGAAGACCAAACTTTTATCATTACGATTGTAATGGGGATTATATACTGATCGGCCAGCTGTACTACCTCAATTTCTTCGCGCTGTACATGGGCTATGTATATACGGTGGCATCGTTTATCGAGCTGATGGGCTGGAACGTGACCGTTAAGTCAATCATCGAGGACCTATTTGTCCGGAAAGTCACAGATTGAGTGGAACGCATGCGCGGACTATCGAAACAGCTGGGACCAAATGTTTACCCGAGACGAGGCGTCCGCCTCTCTAGTGAGGCATCAGTGCCTCATCCAGTGTCCATGGAGCAAGTTGATCAGGGTGGCGCGACACAAGTCGTTTCGGTTCAACTCGGTTTGCCGGAAAATCGATAACTGTTTTCTTGGCACGCGCAATTCAACCATCGTAGCTGAATGTAAATAAATGGCTGTCTCTGTGAACCGTTTTGACAAAACTACGTCGGACTTCCTTGGACTGGTTAAATTGTAGGTGGCATGATGTATTTTCACTTGGATGACATACATGTAGATATAATTGTACATATGCAATACACATTCATGTGGACCTCTGGTCTCTGCTACAATACGTAAAAATGTTTCGTTAACATTAAGTTTTAATAATTACATTCTGGTTAAATATATGCTAGACGCATTTTTAGTAAGTTATCCTTTTGATTTCTCAATCCCTCTTTCCCTCTCTGATTGCGCGAAAAGACCAGAAATTGTGGTTTCCGTCCTAGAAGTGAATTGTTTGGTCCCTTTCCATTCCGTATCCGTGTGGTTACCTCACTCCTTCGGAGGCATTTAGTGCGGCGGTGCCTGGGTGATGGCCTTAGTTCCACCACCACTGCCACTGTCACTGCTAGTTGGCCAAACGGACACTAAAATAGGGAAAACACATAGGTTAGAGGTTTTCAATAGATTCAACAAGTAAAATCCCTATCATCAAGCAATCAAACCTATTATAAACAATGCTTTAGCATTAATTATTTTTGTCCCCCAAGTAAGTGACTCACAGAAAGATGTAATCAATTCTAACCGATTAGCTATTATAGGAACAAGCTTACTAAGCTTAATAAACCATCATGTGAATTTAATATAACTTGAAACCCAATTAAAATACCAAAAAATGTTGTAAGGCTTTTTCCTTTTTAAAATTGTTTTTTTTTTTTAACATCTAAGCTCGATTAACTCATCTATTTAATAAGAATTTTTTATGAAACGTTTTAAAGAAGTGAATTCATACTCAAAAAAAAGTTTAATAAAATGTGAATTCTTAAAAAAATATATGAGTCAACTATAAAAATACATTTTGAGGGCAAAGTAACCCATATTGCAAGTTGTTTTTATACTTTCATTATTCATCTACAGAAATTATTTTTCCTCTACTAATGGCATTAAGAGACTCTTATGCCTTTTGATTGCAAAAGTACCCCGACCTAGAGCAAAATATTTTATAGTCCACATACGTTCACATTGAGGTTCTAATCTCCATACATTATACACTAAACAAACACAAAGATAATTAACACTTAGGACAGAGACACAAAAACAACATTTACCTTTAGATTTTTAGAGTTGCTTAGCTTAAGATGTTTATATAAAATAATATACAATTTTAAGTGTATATAGTAGGAGCCCGATACACGTACATAAACGTGCTAAACGATTAGACTGAATCTTAACTTTGCTGTATGGGAATCGGAATAGCATTTTGATTTTTTGTTGGCTTTTCTATTGTTTTTCTTTGTGTGTGTGATTAATTGTATCAATTGAAAAGCGACACTGCAAGTAAACAGAAATTCACAACGGGTTGTCATCAGTACGAGTACGAGTTTGAGTATCTAGTATTGGGTTAGTTGGCTGTGGGCCACATGGATTAGTTGCTAGAGGGCCGAAACCACAGGTTGAGCAAGATTAGGGCGTTGCAGGGCGTTGACTTGCGTCATAGTTGCAAACTAAAACTAAACCAGCCACCTAGCTACACTACTGATCTTTGGCCTGATCAAGTAAAAACCGCAACCAGAAGCCCCAGAAAGCAGAAGCCGAAGCCGAATCGGTGTAAAGACGGCCAACTTACCCAGGACAATGATGAGCAGCACGACGGCAATGACGCCCAGGATGATCATCATCTTCATGTTGGCCCACCACTGTTTGCGCTTCAGCTTGCCGGCCTGCTGTTCGAACTGGGAGGCTCCCTGCTCCAGCTGGTCCGCCCGCTCGCCCAGCTCCGACAGCTTCTGGTCCCGCTCCAGGACCTTCTCCACGTTCACCCGCATAATCCCGACCACCTCGTCCACCTTGGCTTGGGTCTGCTGCAGTCGCTTCTGGGCCGCATTGTTGTTGCTGGAGTGGTGGTCACCGAATTGGTTGTTTTGATGGTTCGGCGGTGGCGGAAGTATGGGAAAACTGTACAATATTATGTGTTTTTTTTTTTGGGACTCTTACACTTATGAAAAGCAGCAGATCATTTAAGCTGCAGGGCACAAAAGCAAGTAGATTGAAGGACGTATATCTTATACATTTAAAGGCTACATCTCCGATAAGAAGTACTATTAAGTCTGACGTTGATCATTATTATTATTGCGTCTGAAAAAGGCATGTCTTTGTCCAGCTGCAAAAATTAAACTCTTTCTTTGTCATCAAACCTCATTTTTTCCTCAAAAACCGTATATTTAAATGCTAAAGCTTAGTTCACCGGTACTTAACAAATATAACCCAAAAACTCAAATCACTAGTTTTTTTTTAGAAAATTGTATGAAACTAAGGGTTTAACATTTGAGTCTAGACTATCACAAAACAATCGCTTAAAGAATTAGTTTTTTTGTTCAAATAAGTTAAATATTGATTAAAAAAAGAAGACTTCAAACTTAATCAAAAAAAACTTTTTTAGCAACTATTGAAAAGCGTTTGCTCATAAGAAAATCTGACTGATTTAAGAGTCTAAAACTTTTCTGATTGACATTTAAATGCTTTTAGAGTTTGGTTCTATCGGCTTTAAGCTATGTTATAAAAATATATCATCTTGGCTTGAATTCGTATACTATTCTTACCCTAAAACTGTGCTAACAATGTAATTTTTATAATTCCTTTTGTCATTGTGTTTTTATGATATTGTTGTCTTTGAGTTCCATATCTGACAGTATTTGATCGCCTTTATTAAAATCTATGTATTACTACGTATCTACCATCAAACATTTGAGTAATTCCAAAGTGCGGAACCCAAACCCTAAGACCTAATTTCCGGTATGTTTTGCCCCTTAATTGGGCAAATGACGTCACTTCGTATGATTTTCCTTGCTTTTGTGCACTGAGCCTGTTGATTCGATGAATTTCCACCACTTACTCGTTGTTGTTGGATCCAGATGGGGAGGGGGCTTCGTTGTTCTCCATTGTGCTGGTGCTGTAGGTGGGAGAATTAATCGAAGAAAGGCCATTATTTGCTGGTTTATTAAGTCAAATGCAATTTCCCTGACACACACACACCCAAAAATACGCAGATTACACGTCCGAAAAAGAAAGAAAACAAACCGCAGCACACACCTTATCTATTTGGCCAATGAATCACTCGGTTTATAGAAATGCCATCACCAACGGGGCGAAAAAATAACTTGTTGCATGCCGCACTGCCAACAAACGCTGTTTGCATGGCTTTAAAACCCCACCTCGGCCACCCACCACCCACCGAGCACTCACCTTGACAATGTGCCTGTACAATACTGCTGTGTAATTCGGGTTTTCCACGGAAAACTTGCGGCTGACTTTTAAATAGCACAATTTTTTTTTAATAAATATCAGCGATCAGTGTTAGAGATGGAAGAACACCAGTGCCAACGTCGATGTTATCGATGTTTTCGCTCTAATCCGTGCTTGGCAGAAGTAATCGATGTTTATCCATATAAACTGGTCACACAGAAAATTATAGCAGACAAGTACTATAATTGTATAAATTGGAAAACAAAGAAGTTTTAACTTTTTCACTTATTTTCCCGATTATTCCTATGGGAGCTTATGATAAAGTCGTATACTATCTGAAATAGGGAGACAACTTTTGGGAAACTGAAGGAAAAGATTGCATAGAAGCATATAAACGGACAGCCGGACTGGATCGACTCGCCTGGTGATGCTGATCAAGAATTTATCAACCATTCAACTTTTGACCTTTTGCAAGGGTATAAAAAACGTTTAGGGTTATTTTTAAGGACTTGTATTTAAAGTTAAGTCTCAATTCTAATATTCATATATTTTTATATCATCCTCACAAAGTGTAATTATTATGACCATAGAAAACATATATATTAAGAAAGAACCGTTTTCTGATTGAATAGAAATTATAATGTTTTGTGGCTCATTAATGGTACAGCTTAGTTAATTTTACCCGTTTATTCAAGGGCAATAACATGGGTAAAATTGTATTCATAGAATATATGAAAATGAAGATAATTTTTTTTATTTGAAACGGTTCCTATAATGGTATCCATAATAATCATAATCATATATTTAGAACCAACGATAGGTTAACAATGATTTTATACTAACTATCGCTTAAAAAAAGCACATCCTTAACACAGTTTGTAGTGCTGCAAAGTGTCACAGCACATTGTAGGCACTACCATAACAGCGAGTTGCCAGATTAACCAATTTTAAATGGATTTTCAAATTGCATAAATTTCAGATCAAAAAAAGGAACATAAGTATGGAAAATGCATAACTCGCTGGTTTCCAAATTGCTGCTGCGTCTGCTGTTGCTGTTCGCCTTGGTGACAGCCGCCTCCATTGTGATTCTTACAAAATGCGGATTCGACGAACTTACGACGAGGGAAACGCAACCCAGTAATCCCAGTGAATCCAGTGGATTTAGTTACGCGCTGAGCGAACGCGAGGCGGCAATTGAGCGGCTAAAACAAGAGGTGCTCACGCTTCGCGCTCAGATCCTGTTTCTGCAGAACAATCGGAGTACCGGCAAGCTGTCCAATGGCAGCAGTCTGCAGCTGCAGGAAACCACCGTCGGTCCATCGACTGCCCCACTGGCCCACCACTACGACTGCAGCAGCTATATCCGCAAACAGGTGGGCGCGGCCGAAATTCTGCACGGACTGCCGCTGAACAACGAGTACGAGCTGATACCCTTCAATCACTTCACCTTCACCCGCGTCTATCCCATCGACTTGGGTCTGGGCAAGCGGGTGGTGGAGAAACCCATCGGCTATCGACGACGTGACCTGATCGATGCTGTCAACAAGGCTCTGGAGAGCCTCAACCGCAACCATTCGGCGAGGATACGGGCCAAGGCAGCTGGTTCCCCGGTTGGACCGCCCTCGGAAGTGATCAAATACACCCTGGATGACTTCATCGAGGGCATATACCGCAATGAACCCACCACAGGCACCCAGTATGAGCTGTATTTCCAGAGTGTCAAGAACCAGGCGAGTCCTGTGAGAAGAGCCCTGGTCATGCGACCCTTTGCCCCCCTGCAAACTGTGCAGCTATCGGAGCTATCCCCCAACGTGGACATTGGTGGCAGGGCCACTCCAAGTCGCAGTCCGCCCGTCATCCATGTGATACTCCCCTTGGCAGGACGTCTGCACAGTTTTCGCAGCTTCATGCAGATGTTCGACAAGTTCGAGGATCCTCGATTGGAGCTCATTGTGGTGTACTTTGGAACTAGTGGACTGGCACAAGCCAAACGGCTGGCAGGACGAACTAAAAGGACACAGTTTCTGGCTCTCAATGAGACTTTTAGCAGGGGTAAAACAAATTAAATTTTATGCTTATTAGACCAATATTTTATAGTCGAATTTTAGTTGAAATTATTAAAAGTTTATTTAACGTGTTTAAGAATTTAATTTTTATATGCTTTGCCTAATGAAAAGATTGTACTGAAATAATGAAACATTAATTATCAACCACATATAACAAGTACCGTAGTTTTTGGATTCTTAGTACTTTCCTTAATTCTATAAAAAAAATACCTCAGTTTTGTTTGCACTTTGGCTTAATGAACAACATTACCATAAATTACATTTTAAACCCTTTTAACCTTAAACTAGCTTCGGGATATTGTAAAACTTAATTCAATTTGATGATTTTATTATTGATTGCAGCCAAAGCTTTGAGACTGGGAGCGGAACATATCCAACCTGCCGCTGAGGACGCACTGCTCTTTATGTGTGACGTAGACATTATGTTCACAGCCAGATTTTTGGAGCGATGTCGCTGGAATGCCGCTCCAGGCAAGAAGGTAAATGCCAGCTATAAAAATTAAAATTTAAATAATAAGATACTTCTTCTTATTTTACTCAGGTATACTACCCGGTGGTTTTTAGCCTGTACAATCCGCACGTTGTGTACATGTTGCAGGGCAAACCCTTGCCTGGCGACGAGGAGCAGCTGGTGATCTCACGGGACACTGGGTTCTGGCGGGACTTTGGCTACGGGATGACGTGTCAGTACCGCTCGGACTTTCTGCAGGTGCGCGGCTTCGACGAGGAGGAGATCGTTGGATGGGGCGGCGAGGATGTGATGCTCTACCGCAAATACGTTCGGTCAAAGATCAAGATAATCAGGGCCACCGATCCGGGCATCTTCCACCGCTGGCACACGAAGGTATAGTCTTATATGGTATACCACATTCCATAGAAATAACCTAGATATATGTATCTATCCTGCAGATCTGTTCCAACTCGTTGACAGCCGATCAGTATCGCGCTTGCATTCGATCGAGAGCTTTGAATGAGGCCTCGCATGCCCAACTTGGATTCCTGGCTTTCCGGGATGATATAGCTGCAGCAAATGCCGCCAAGATGGTATCGTGATACTTGGCTACAACAAAGGTATCCCTAATCGCTTGGCTTTTCTGTCTTCGGCGAATATTCAAGTGTGTGTAAAAGGAAAGCAGTGTGATTTAATATATTTTAAAGAACTAGGCCAATTTATATAGATTTTTGTATATTTTCTAAATTCAACATCAAAAGTTTTGGTAACTGTTTCCATATAGGAACCTCTTAATTTAACGAAAATTAAATTGAATATTAGCCAAATGGTTGTAACAAAGCCAATGCCGAAAACGTATTCTATAATACTTTTTTAGATAGAATATTTGTGATATTGCTTTCATATTTAAGCTATTAATTTTTTTTTAAATTGGCTCGGCTTAATTGACAGTTAATTTTTGTATAACCAAATCATTTAGACCACTGCCACTGTTTCACACATGCGAAAACATATGCTCTGAGCTATAAGTAGGTACAACTTGAGACAATAACTCGTATTTAGCAGAATCGTTGAACTAGCTTAATTGTTGATCTTGTTGCGCCCTCGAATGTGCCACACACACACACACAAATCGCACTGTACACAAACATCACAAATTGTTCTTCCATGACGCAAACTAGATGCAATCTTCAGAGCCCAAGAAACTATATATATTTGTGAGTACCATATCGAATCTGTATCTCAAACTGAGCCTAACAAATCTGCCAGACTGTTGCGCGCTTTGTAAAAACTAAATTAAATCGTTTAATTAAACTTGTCGCCTGGCTGTTGTTTTTTTTATGCGTTGGATGGTTATGATTTTTATGGACGATGCCAACGACCTCCGTCCAGAGTTCAGTGAGCATGCAGACGAAGAAGGTGATCCGTAGCGCCACCTGCTGTATTTCGACTCGTCCCCTCCCACCATGACTACATATTTTTTGGTCAGGCAATTTGTCATGCTGTGAAATTATTTTACAACAAATTGATTTTAACTAACGGTTTGTTCTTGATTATTAAACGAGCTATGTGGGCTATAGATATGAATATGCCTATGTACCCAGTGAAAATTCTCATAGTTAAATTATTTAAACATTAAAATATTTGAACGTAACATTGTTTTTCAAATATAAACTTTCTTTCATGCTTAACATATTTAATTGATTTATACAATAGGAAAATAGTAGATTTCAATATTTTTTTAATTTAAAACTAAATTAAAAACCACTTAAAATATTTTAATCAATGTTGCATTACCATTTAAAAAAATATTTATATAAGAAAAGAAGCAGACAGAGAAGAAGGAAATTGAAAAGGGATCTCTGCGTTCATCATTATAAATAAGGAGCAAGATCATATTTTATATAAATCCTCCATTTATAGTCATAATAATAGTAAATATTTTTCAAAACATTTTTATTGGGCTTGGGAAAATATTATGTCAAATGATTTTCGTTATTATTATCAACACAGCTTAAAGCTAACTTTTTTCTTCAATAATTTCTTTAAGAAATTGTTCAACTACAACGTTTTTTAAATATTTTTTTGTTCAAGGGTATTAAAAACCCCTTGTAGACCCCAAAACAGATTTCTTAATTTGGGACGTCTTCAGGTGGAAAGTCTTTTCATGGTCACGGTCTTGGATTATGTAAGCGTTGAAAAGTGTTTTGTTCCAGTTGGAAGTGGAAATGCTAATCTCATGCTGATTTTAAGACTCAGGTTTCAGGTGATTCAGCAACCGAGAAGTCGGAATAATCCGCGATAATTTCACAGGAGTGTTCTGAGGGGCATTACGCAACAGACGCATAATTAGCCCGCGTTTCGATGAGACAATCGAGGCGTTTTTCGGGCACATCCTCCCTGTCATTCTCCGAAAGGCAAACTGACCATGAAACGAGAGCAGAGCCCGCCCCAAGGTGTTGGAGCAGGCGAAGTGACAAATCGACGTCCCAGCCCAAGTCTGAAAAATTCAAATGAAAGCAACAACACCGAGTGCCAACACCTTAGCCACGAATGCCAGCGAACCACAGCCATCAGCAGCACAAGCGCCGAAAACCGAAAACCACCTCTAATAGCCACGATGATCCGGGGCTGGGATCGCGGTTCAGTGCTCTCGGCTCGGGCAGAACCAAAGCTCGGGTTGGGTTAGAGTTCAAATAAATACGGACCCATCCGTTCCGGCCAGATCATTCGCGGTCTGACGCCAGTCCGAGAAGCTTTGGCTCGTTGTGATACAGTTCGTAAAGGATATATTCGGTTTTACCCCCAAAATTGGAACGGCACGTCGAGTGCCAGGTGCTAAATTTGTGATCGATTCGGTGGAACCAAGTGAAGAGGGGTCACCATGCGTGCTATTATGTTGGTGAGTTCAAATGTAGTGGTGTTCTAAGAAAACTGAGAAAAATCTGGGAAATCAAATTTTACTTCCTGGTAGCCAAATAAGTGTATAATTAATTAATTCGAAAAATTTAAAAAAAATAGAAGTTTTGACGGGAAGGTCACTAAATTAACTGTTATTAGTTACAAAAAGGAATATACCTTTTTAAAAATCAAGCTAGTGAAAAGGACTGGCTCAGCACGCCAGATTAGTTTTTTTAAACACTCTGTTAAACACACACAATCACAAAAAGGACGGTATTGTTAGGGTACAACACTTAAAAATATAAAATGTGTTTCTTTAATTTTCTTAAATGATTTATAATTTTGTCTTCCAATTTTAATCGTAATAACGAACGTGATCTACACGCCAAACACCCTTGGTTATTATTAATTCACAGAGCGTGCATCGTATTTAATTTATTAGGAATAACAATAAACAATAAACCACCCTTAGTTCTTTTAAAACGCTCTTGAAAAAGAGGACATAAATCAGTTCCTGACAATTATTGTTTTCTTACATAAAGTGAAATAGGGGAAATTCGTCATCAAAGAATGTACATACAAACGTACATCTTCCCTGCTGTCCCATCTTTGTTTAATCGTGGAACTTTTAACTAAACCTGACCCCAAAAAAAATGTTGTGTAACATATGTAGAACACATTATGCAACCCCCAAAATATTACGATCATGTTATGTAAATTAAGGCGGACCGACAGACCAAACTCCAGTAGGGCCCCGAAAAACCCATTCATAAGTATTCGATGGCAACGACCCTCGGTCAGCGAAACAATTTGCCACATTCTTATTCACATACCATTCGGTACTCGCTCGAAATATAATTATTCTAATGAAGTTGGCCAGAGTCAGTGACAAGTCACGTCGATCCCCATCCAATTCCATTCCCCACATGCCCAAGCGAAGCCAACACCATCGGCTTTGGCCGGAAGTTGTTCCTGATGCTTGGCTAACAAAGCGTGGCGGCCAGCTAGCAAAATATTTTCCATGATTAACTCGGCTTGGGCTGACCATTCTCGGATTTTCGACTTTAACATATGCCACTGGAGTTATGATTCCGATTCCAATTGCGATTCCGATTCCAATTCCGAATCCAATTCTGATTCATGCAGCCATGAGCCGGTCTGGGAAATGATGTCAATGCTATCTGGCCATCCCCGAGTACTTTTGGCCCGGCCCAAAATCCATTGCATAATCGGTGGGGGGAGATGCTCATATTTCACGCCGACTGGCCACGCCGCGTTGTCGTCCACTTTAGCGGTGTTCATCTGTGTTCGGAGGGCGCCTCAATTACGATCGGAGGCTGCCATGGAGCTCCGTGTTTTGGCCCAGTTGGCAGCTGAACCGTGAGATATGTATTGGCTGGCTGATTCCCCGGCTTAGACGGTTGCGATAGGCTCCGCACTCAGCGGCAATTAAAGCCAATCAACTAATGGCGATCACGCTCTCGGTTTTAAAAAGCATATTGGTTATCTGCCACAGTGCATACATATAAAAAAAAACAAAGAGGTGCTTTGAAAGGATCTTATCTGTGGCTTTGGAAATAGATCACTGAAGTCATTTGAACTGGGGACGCGTAATTAAAAGTTGCCTTGTTGATACCATTGTATGATATGTTATTGCTATTAAGGACCAATGAAAGTAAAATACTTATAGACTTAGTTGGTTTAATAAATACCTATCATACCAAGAATATTACGACTGTGGCTTTCAGATGTGCTTTTGTTCCGCTATTATTAAGATTCCTAAAATTTTTGTTCACATTTTAAAAAGACTTTAAAGCTAAAAGGATATATTTGAATTCGTATATTCCAAAACTATTCCATAAGGACGTACAAAAATAAAATGTGCTTTATTAATCTATTAACATGAGGTGATTCAGTATTTAATCATTTATTTTATATATATATATTTCGTCATTAGCTATCCTGCCTGGCCGTGATTGTCTGTGTCCAGGCAGCGGTCACAGGACCTGAGGCACGCTCTAGTGTGGACACCAAGGATCAGCAGCTGACCACCGCGAGCGTTGGAATCCTGGACTCCGTGCTTCGGGGAAAGAGTCGCCAGTCGCGCTGTGTGCGATGCTACGAGGATCGGGACCGGGATCGCTACTACGGCGGATATGCCAGTCGATCGGGCGACGATATGCGCAGCAGTGCCTGGTATTACACCGGCTACGATGACCGCAGCAGCAGTAGGGATCGCGACTACGACCGGTACTACGATCGCTCCCGCTACGATGATCGTTATACCCCAAGGACCTACGATCGGTACGAGGGACGTGGCTATGATGATTACAGAAGGGGATCCGGGTACAGTGGATCCTACGATCGGGAACGCGGATATGGCTACGACAACCGGGATCGCTACTATGGTGGTGATCGCTACAGTGCTGATCGCTACAGCGAGGGGTATTCCCGGGGTATGTTAAATTAACCTATTGACAAATCAATTACTCAGAGAGTCACATCTTTCAAAGCCCTTTAAATAACAATGTGCAACGTTAACAAAGTAAAATCATTCATTATTCAAAAAAAGAATACCATAAAAAACTCGATAGTTATTGTGGAAAAGGTGCGATCGTCACTTTATTCTTTCCTCGTTAAGAGGTATTTGTTTGACTAGGAAATCATTTCTTATATCTGTTTATGCAAATACCTTTTGCTTTCGTTTTCAGACCGCTTATATGATCGCTCGAGGACCAGCGGGTATGATCGTTACGATCCGTACGATCGCTACTACTCCAGGTATGATTTTCGCAACTATCGCCCTTGGGATGAGACCTACAGGTATCGTCGCACTCCTTTGTGTATATAAACATGTTGTCTGCTATCTCTATATCGTTGGCTTTCTATCACTGAACTGTTTCCCGTTTTTACTCTCTACTTTCATACAACAACTCAACAACACGCTAACAACAACAACAACAACTACAACCACACCAACATCATGTACAACAACAACATGAACAACACACCACACAACAACAACAACACTGTGGACACTGCGGATGATCCACGGCTGGCAATACCAATCCAAAATAATCTAATCCGTAATGCACCCAAACAACTGCACTCACTATTTTACGCCCAAAAAAAAAACCCGTATCCGCCCCGTTGACTCCCACTCGACTACCGCTTCCGCTACCGTTTGCCCAATGAAACAACAATAACTTTGAATGGATCAGAGGTCAATCCGGCTTCGATAACTCCGGCCGTGGTTATTACTTTGCCACCGATGATGAGGAAAGCGACAGGAATCGAGGATATGGCTACTCCTACTCTCGACCCTCCTCCTCCTCCTTCTCCTCCTCCGCGATGAGTTCGCCTTGTGGGCGCATCCCCGGAAATTGTCCCTATGCCGGTGGCTCCAAGGTCACCTCCTCCGCGATTGGCAGCGACAGCTCGCGAGTGGGTGGCCATACCAATGTCCTGGGATCGGAGGGCGGTCCTGGCAGTTGGACCTATCTGGGGGATCAGGAGAAGGGCAGTGGTGGCAGTAGCGGCAGCGCATCGGCCAGCAGCGGCAGCAGTAGCAGCAGCAACGGCTCAAGCGGCAGCGGCGGCAGTCGGGAGCGGGAACGGGAACGGGAACGGGACAGGGAGCGGGATGCACAGAGGTAAGTTGCAGTGGGTGCTGCCCCTGCAACAGCATCGACAATGCACTGAGACAACAAAAAAATCTTGAATCTAAATGACTTGATTTATAAAATTCAATGAACCTGAAATATGTAGAAATAAAATCACCTGAGAAACTGGTCAAGGTTACTTTTTGGCCATAAGTTCTTAAATTTAGATCATATTGACAATAGTTTGAGAATAATATTAACACTTTTTTATCTTTTGATGTGAGTTTGAGTTTGTTTATAAAAACTTTTCTCTAATTTACTTTTGTTGCCTTTAATTCTTTGACTTCAATTAAGGTTTTTCTGAGCTATTGCATGACTTGTTAAAAAAAAAGACATTTATAAGCAAAAATTAAAAAAAAGTAATACTTTAACAACAGTGAGAGACTAAGCAACTACGAAAATATTAATTGATCAAACTTCTAAATTGGTTTTTAAAAATTCATAAAGATTTTTTACCGTAATCATTACCAAAAGTTCTCAAAATAATTGACTTTGAATTCTAAAGTTCAAGAATTTTTTGATGTTTGATGTCTGAGTGCACCCACAGTTATGACCCGCACAGAATCGAACTCGGAATCGGTCACGGCATTAAGATAGGCTTGCCCTCTTGTCGCCCCTTGTAGCTCTTCCTATGGTGGCCGACCACGTCCTCTAGGCGTCAGCTATCTGCTCGAACGGGACGCGGACACCCCATCGGATGGTGCAGGAAACACGGCGAATCCCGCCGGCAATGGTGGAAGTGGTGGTGGTGGTGCTGGTGGTGCTGGTGGCCAGAGCATGCCCATCCCAGCTGCCCAGACAGCAGCCGAGGAAAGTTCCGGCGCAGCCAAGCAGTAACTGGATATGGACACAGAATTAAGGTCTGAATCCAGATCCAATTCCAGGACCGGATGCAGTGCAGCGGCTGGGAGAGATGTCCGCCCGGTGGGCGTGGCAGGGCTTAGTGTAACCTACTATCCGTATTTATGTGTAATTCATAAGCTAAGTCTCCAAAGAAAATATTTATGTGTGGCACAACTTTGCTCAAATAAACAAAATTCAAAGATCCTCAACAAGTGGTTGGTTTTCATAGGGGTAGAAAAAACAATACAAATTTTTCAGTTGCAAGTACAGTTTATTTTATTGTTCAAGTGTGTAATGCTTAACTAAGAGGTAATACATTTATTTATATTATAAGAATAAACTTTGTTTATGAGAGACCCTGAGCACGATTAACATAAGCCAATGAAGTAAAAATCAAAAGAAGAAATAAAATATACAAGAAAAATTAAAAAATAAAAATCCAAACAGTTCAAATAACAAAAGAAATAATTCAAAATAAACCAAATTATAATTACAAAATTTATAAGGGCAAAACAAAATATATAAAATATTCTTTAATATAAACAAATGAATAAGTATAAGCAAATAAAAAATAATCAGAATAACAAATATGGGAAAGAAACAAAAAACAACAAAAATTACCAAATTAAAGATAAAATAAAAATATTTGAATACTATAAAAATTTTGAACAGAAAAATCTAACAAAAAAATCAAGCCTAACTGATTTACTAAACAAAGAAAAAAACTACAATTTTCAACTTGAAAAAGAAAATAAAATACAAAAAAAAATTATATAAAAAAATAATGAAAAAACAATTAAAATAAACAAAAAATAGAATAAAAAAACAAAATTTTGTTTAATAAAATGTATAAGATATAAAAAATAAAAATAAGATAAAAAAAAAAATAAGAAAAAAACTGTAAAACTGTAAAACTTAAAAAATATAAAGACTATAAATTAAAAACTTGTAACAAAAATGTTAAAAAAAACACCAAAACACACAAAAAAAATATATACTAAATAAAAAAATACTTAAGATAAATAAACTACACTATGCTTTCAACATGATACACACATAAAAGACAAAATAATAATAATAAACTACCAACATTAAAATTAGAGAATGAAAAAAATAAAAAAAAAAAATGATCTTAAAAATTTTACAAAATATAACATAAAACAAAAAATTTAAAAATATATATACAAATCAATTAAGAAATTATAGGAACGCATAAGCAATATAAATACAAATTAAATCAACAAACATGACCTAAATAAAATAAAGTTTTAATAAAAATGTGTAAAATACAACAAATAATAATTAAATATAATTAATAAAATAAAAATAAAATATATTATAATAATATAATAATATAATAAAAATAATCGTAAATTAAAAAAGAATGTAAGAAATTCTTATCAAAATAAAATAATAAAAAAATTAAAAACTTACCAAGTTTTAAATTATCCGAAATAATTCACAAAAGCAAAACATTAAAATCATCCAATGCATAAATAAAATCAAATTCAATCAACTTATGTTCGAAAATAATAAAACGGAAGTACAATACAATTTTCACTGGTCAACTTTAGAAATTAAAATAATAATCTTGTAAATTAAATTAAATTAAAGAAAACAACTAAATAAAAAAAATCGGAAAATGAAATCAAAAATAATAAATCATTGTTGAGTAAAATAAATTTTAACAAAAATATATACGTTATTTTAAGAAAAAAAATTGAAATTTAAGATACGTTTGAAAATATAATAAAATTAATGAAAATAATAAAATTAAAACACTTACCAAATCCGATAAAAATTCACCAGACAAATGTCTTTAAAATTATAAATACACAAATAAAACTTTAAAAATCAAATAAGAAAAATTATAATCACAGAATCGGTTCAAGAAATTTAAAAAAACCATAAATTAATTAAATTGAAAAACTGCTCGGGGAAACTTCACATTTAAAACAATCATTATGCAACAAAAACATGCTTTGCTATTGGCAATATACATTGAGAAAACTTTCCTATAGATTTCTTTTAGTTCAGAATAATACAAAATGGAAACCTTTGTCAAGAATATTGTTAGACCAACAAATTTATAGCTTTTAAATTGGTTTAACAAAAAACATTAACAAAACTAAAAAAAATATCAAACTAAAAAGGCACAAATAAATTTTTAACTAAATTTGAGTTTTGTATGTTTTAAATTTGAAGAACTAATGAGTACAATTGTGGAAGAATTATTTTTTTGTTGGGTAGACGTTTTGATCATGGTGATGCTGCCTTAAATATTTGATTTCTGCGTTATTTTTAAAAGTAGTAGTGGATGAAAGTAGAAATGAAGAAATGATGTCTTAATTTCTAGAACTTTTTGTAAATATTCATAATATTTGTGTCCGCGTGTAATTTTTGTAGATGGATGTCTTCATTTTTGGAAGCTTACTTTTTGTGCAATCTCAAATGTTTTCAATTTCTTCCGGACGGTTTTTTCTTGAACATTTTTTTTGGATTTTAAATACGGTATCCTCTCCATATGCTTGATTTTGTGATATTTTGTGTTGCGTGGGTTTTTTTAACACCTTCAGTTTTACAACAAAATATTTGCGAATATACTCTAAAAAAGCTAAATATTTTTGAGATATGAGTCTGTGGTTAAATTTTTTTGTAGTAATTTTGCCTGGATGTCATTACTTCATGCTTGGTGCAACCTCAAGTGATTGTATTTAATTTTTTTTATATTTTTCTTAAAGTAATGATTTTATGGAATTGGATATTTTGTAACATGACTATAGACGTGGAACTTTTAACACTTTCACAACTCTTGGTAAGGCAAATATTTGCTATATAATTTAAGCATCGCCGAAAATAATGCCACCTTTTCAGTGAGTCACTGGCCTTGATTTTGCCCTGTTAAGTTTGAGTACTGGACTCTATTGTATTTCCTGTTGCTTTTATTTTAACAGAATTTAAGAGTTATGAGTTTTTAAGCTATTGTTGATTGGGTTACTATAGCTGTGTTTTCTTTTTCTTGTATTCCTGCAAAAGGAAACAAGTAGTTGTAATCTTCACTTCAAGGATACATTCTCTAGTTAAATACTTACATAATTCCATGAAGATTTCCATGTGTTTGAAGAACTTTTCAAAGTCGAATGATTATTTTTAACTAACGAACTTTAATTAACGGCTGAGGCCGCCACGCCAAATGGTGGCGGGGTGGCGGCTTAGCGATCTTCGAGTGCGATGTCGTCACTCTTTGGAGTATTAGACTGAACTGTGCTGCAATGCTGATTTGATCGGTCTTTTATACCGTGCGGAAAATCCACCACCAGCGTTAGTTGTTGGAAATACTTTCGCATGACGCAGGCGTGCCAGCAGAGGGGGAATTGAATTGAATTTTTGGGAGGGGGTACGATTCTGAATACTGGGAACCAAGAACCGGGTGCGTGCCGTTGGGCCATAACAACAATAAAACGGGGGTTAGGCTCAAGGAATGAACTGAATTGGAAATGTTTATTTCAGTTTTATGCTGGTATGTCGGCACTGTCCCCGCGATCGCTTTACTTCTTGGCTCTAGATTCCGATTCTCGGTGGAGGGTTACCGGGTTATGTCACCCTCGGTTTGCCCGAGGTTTTCCCGTCTTGTGGGAACCGAAGTGATCTAGGGCTACCAGTTGAGTGCATAGTAATTAGTCAAGATTTCTCTCGTTCGCTTTCTCACGCTCCTGGGGGTTTCTTTTGGTCCCTTGGCGAAAATCCGCCGAGGAAAGGTGTTCACCCAAATGTTTTCTCTAAGAACTGATAACAAAAGCCCTTTGAATAGGGGTACGGGTATCAGTATTAGGGTGGTTTTACGCCAGCTCCTGTGTCAGTTTGCCAACTACTGGTTGTTCAGATATGCTGGTTGCATTTAATTTCATTTAGGACTCTTGTGGGATCATCAATTGAACATCATTTGGCTATTGGCAGTATGCGGGCTGAAGATGAGCCAAAGGTGCAGCTGCTGGGAACGGGAGTTCCAGAAAAATGCTTTAACAGCTACTTTGTAAGAGATTTTGAAGTACTTAATTGATTAAACTTATTATAAGCGCCTTTTGCTATAAGATTTTTATATAAAAATGGCTAGAAAGCAAGTATTTTATTTCTAAGAAATTTTTTAATGACAACTATCAAATTATCTATTTTAATTTATTAAAATCAATTGAACATATTAAGTAGGTTAAGTTAAATAATATTACCATTAAAGATTTAAGAAAACTTATTATAACAAAACTGTTAAATAGTTGTAAGTCTTATGAATTTAAAAAAAATATAATTCAGTGGTTTCACCGATTTTCTGTATAGTATTAATAGCCGTAGTGTCATTATTACATCTAATCCATTTGATGACCAATTCCATGCCAAGAACTAGCAGTAGTTATGTCTAACTATCTGTTTGACTTTCTATAAACACTTTTAACTACAAATTTTGTTGGTAAAAGAGAACCACATCGACTGGACTGTTAATCGTTCTTTGTAAAATTTTCAAAAAAGTAAACGAGAGCGAGTTCTGTTCGCTACCTGAGCAACGCAATTAGGTGCGTATAAATTCCGGCGATAGCACATCTTATCATTGGAACCAAGCTGATAAGAACTGGAGACTCTTCGGCAGGCAAGCGCACAACACTTCAGTTTAGTTCCAGTGTGTTTGGATTATAGTTCGGTGCTCGGAAAATGGGGAAAATGCCTAGAATTTCCTTCTGGCAGCGTCCAAGAGTGACGCATTTTGCTTTTCTGGTCTTTTTCGTATATGTTTTCCTCCTCGTCGCCTATAAATTCCTACAAGTGAGTGTGACAAATTAGCTGCATTCTATTAGCTACAAATAGGCTCTGTCAAAAACACATCCGGACCTCCTTAAAGTACTAAATGGTTTGAATAATTATTATTTTGCTATGAGTGGCACAAAATGAAAGAAATAGCTTAACAATTTCGCTGCTTTTATTTGAACACGCTATGAAGAAAAACAAAAACAGAAATATAAATAATAATGGACAGTGCGTCGTGTTTTGAGTTGTATGTGCAATAACAAAGTGTAAACAATTCGTATTATACTTTAATACGTTTTCTATGTCATACTTCGATATTGGTTTAGTTTCACGTAAAAATGTGGGAGTGGTTGCAAAATAAAAAAAACTAATAAACTATCTTTTTAAAATTGTTGATTGAAGTCAAAAAATCCAG